ATATAAAATAAATTAATATACATCTAAGTAGATTATTGGATAAATATAGTGGCAATGATATAATAGCAGGAATTTCCATATTATACGCAACTAGATATTTGCTTTTAGCCAAGAATCTAGGATTACGACAACTATTTCAGAAGAACAGAGTAGAATTCATGCAATGTATCGCACTATTTCCAATATCAGGTATTCTGCCATTGTATTGTTTGATGAAAACGATTTACTTTCGTTTCTTTGCCTTATTCAATTTATCCCCGTTTATTAACAATAACTGAGGGATTCATATAGTCGAAATTACGAAAGATGACGATTACAACATCATTTTAGTCTATAGTAAAGACAAAAGACAGCGATTTGTGAATATTTTTAATGAAGTTTCTGATATGTTAGACAGAGAAAGACATAATGTTATTGTCTAAACAAACTGTATTGCTAATTTGCATGTATCCGACAAAGATAGACGATGTCTTCATGTTGCATGATCGATCATATTTGAAAGATGAATAGTAAGGTTATGTTAAAGTAGGTTAGGTTGTTTTCGAATAATACTTTGGTCTTTGGTGTTCCTGTCTTAAGGTATTCTACTCATAACTGTTTTTTTCAAAAGAAAAACTCCCCACTAAAATTATTATTAAGGTATCACTCAAAACCACGAAATAAAATGAAAATAAAAATAATCAGTGAAATAACCTAACTTCGCAAAATTATAATATAAATTTGTTTGATTTGTTGTCATTATGTTCCTGACATCGTGATTTTATCATCGACGTACGTCGATTGATTACTTCAGTACAATTTATGGTATGACGTAATAGCCATCTTTCGTGATTTTGACTATAGTATTTCTGTCTTGCTCTACATGAGTACACCCAGTACAAGGCGAAAACCTATTTCACAGCTTTGACGCGAAATAATGCGTTTGATGCAGACACTCAAAATATACTTCTTAGAGGCAAAATATTAACATAAACAGTTTAAGAATAGTCGCAAACCATAAAATATTATTTTACGATAAGCCGGTAATGGATAGTGTAAAAATTCAAAAAACCGTCAAAACTATTTTTTCATCTTATTTGAAGTCGATTGGATCGCTAAGCGTACGAGTGGTGAATGCAAAATGACAGCCGTAAAAAAATGGTGTCAAGTTGGTTGATTCAACCTTTATCATGCATGGCTCTTATCACTAAACTACAACTATTTAAAACTGTAATGACTCATACGCGTGATCAACACGTGATCAGAGCTCGATCCCGGCTTCCTTCCAGTACAGCCGTATAGCGTACGACATATGTCGTTTCTGTGGCTTTGCGGTGGTGAACAGCACAGACAGAGCTGGAAATAATGGCTGATTGTTCTCCGCCGGTAGAACCAATGAAATCAAAGACGCGCCTCGACCGGCAGGCTCATAGGCGTCGGCAACGCATCGGAACGTGTTTCGTTGAGCGATCGCATATTGTGTGTTTTTATAAGAATTGTTGTGTGATTGTTATTGTTGTGGTTTCTGTGGTTACTGTTTTGGTTATACTTAACCATGGAGAGTACAAATGGCACGAGTGGAAGTACTGAAAGCCAGGGAACAAGTAGACGGCTTCGTAAAGCACTGAAGAGGGACGCGAAAGAAGTCGTGCTCAACGTGTTCAATTATCTGAACAGAACTATGTCGCAGGGAGATACACTCGCGCGTTGTGAAAGTATGACAGGCGTTCCAGAGTGGACCATTCGCAGGGTGGTGCATGAAAAGAAGAAAACTGGAGCTACTACTGATCCAAAGTTTAATTTGAAGGGACGAAAGGCCGTTAAATTGGATAACGATAGCAAAATGGCATTAAGGCGAACCGTACATTCATTCTTCTTTAGGAATGAGATACCAACCCTGAAGGCTGTACATGCAGCGATCAAGGAAAATGAAATTATACCCCAAATGAGCGTCGAGGTAATGAGGAAATCCCTGCACGAAATTAATTTTCGTTACGAAACGCGTAATCGGAAGTCAGTATTGATAGAGAGACCTGAAATAGTCGCCTGGCGTCGAAAATACCTACGCGAAATGATTGAATATAGGCGACAAAGCAGAAAAATCTATTATTTAGACGAGACATGGGTAAATGCAGGTCACACAGCTAAAAAAACCTGGATAGACAAAAACGTAGTGAGTAACCGACAAGCAAGCATTGAAGGTTTGTCAACAGGTCTTCGTGGACCGTCAGGGAAAGGTCAAAGATTGATCGTAACTCATATTGGTAGCGATAGTGGCTTTTTAGAAGAGTGTGACTTGATTTTCGTCTCTAAGAAAGGAGGTGATTACCATGACGAAATGAATGCCAGCTGCTTCGAGAGCTGGTTTCAAGGGGTGCTTCAGCGAGTTGAGCCCAACTCTGTGATCGTCATGGATAATGCTTCCTACCATAGTCGTCGAGCCTAACGTGTACCGACTATGGGATCTCGAAAAAGTGACATGCAGCAATGGTTGCGCGAAAAAGGAATCCCGTTTGACGATTCATGTGTGAAAGCGGAATTTTATGAAAAAATTAAACAGCACAAACCTGCGAACATTAGTTACGTGACTGATGAGATGGCCCGTCAATGTGGTGTCACTGTGCTGCGGTTACCGCCTACCACTGTGAACTGAACCCAATAGAGCTCATCTGGGCTCAAGTGAAGGGTTATATTGCGCGCCATAACACAACCTTCAAATTACCAGACGTTAAGGTTTTACTTGAGACTTCCATACAGCTAGTAACGCCCGAAGCTTGGCAGAATGCTATCCGTCATGTTGTGAAGGAAGAAACAAAAATGTGGCAGCTGGACCACCACATCGACACCATCATAGAGCCAGTTATAGTCAATTTCAACGAGGAAAGCGATTGCGACAGTTTATTACTGTCAGATGTAAGTGGAAGCGACGATGAATAAAGGTAATTCCCAAATTTTTGACTTACAATATATTTCAAACCACTCTTTATTAAGCATGTGACAAATTTAGTTCACCCATGTTAAACTTTCATACCTCACCTATGAACAGCCGACTACTGGTAGTTAAGTGATGTTCACGTGAACATCGATGAGTCATTACAGTTTTAGGTAGTTATAGTATAGATAAAAGAATATGCTCAGCACAAACTAGACCTTCCGAGAAAAAACTGGAAACGTCGCCTCTACCCGATACCAAACTCGGGCAGACGCATAGAAAACACTATGCTGTTGCTCGGCAGAAATACGTTCCGAGAATATTTTTCTAGGGCTCAAGTACAGAGAAATCTATGATGTGTGAAATATGTCTAATGGTTGCGTAGAACTACCAATGTTGGGAGCGTATACATGTACCACCATGAAAAAATTGGATAAGCTCCCGACCTCCTTTTATTTTTTCATTTTAGCCTTTTTCTCTGCCGCCGCTGAACCGATTTTCAAAAACTAGAAAGCCTTTACGTTATTGGCATAGTAGTAACATTGTTTAAAAATTTCATCGAAATCCGAGCACAACTCAAGTTAAGACAGACCGACAGAAATGAGTGGTATGGTTTTTCATGATGTACATTCAGGGTGTAAACGTTATGGTAGTCATTACTGAAATGGGTAATAGGGGGGTCAAAACAAGTCAAAAAGGTCATATGACCCATAGTCCAAAAGTCAATAGATTTTTGTCTAAATGGCTTTATAGTTTACAACTTTAAGTGCTTTATATCGACCACAATCACCACAATCTTGCTAATTTTTATAATCTGATCTAAAACGTTTATAAATTGGGTAATTAACAAATAAATGGCATTAAGTTTTTCAAAGATAAGCCAAAATTGGTAGTCAGTAAGTAAATTTCATTAAATTAAATATTTAAAACACACATAACAGCGCGTCGGTTTTTCATCACTCTTATCGAACCGGCAATCGATCGCAAACGGTAACAGTGGTTAGTAATACTAACTTAGTATGTTGTTTTGTTTCTGTTCGCGCACGTCGAAAAATTTTTTAATGCGGCTCAAATAATAAATGGACAACTTCGAGGACCTAGAGTAAGAAGGAACTGGATTCGTCGTAATGAAGTTTGTGTGGAAAGTGGAGGACATTTAGAACACCTTCTTTAAATACAAAAAAAGTGCAGTGTGGGTTTTAAAAAGAAAAACAATGTATGTATCAAAATTGTGTTCTCTATTTATAAGTGGATTTTTTTAATACGTTCAATGAACTTTCACACACCGCTGAGACAGTTAGTGGTAAGTCCGTTTTTTTAATTGTTTGCATTTTACGAGTACATTGTTAAATAATGAAATAATACCTAAGAGCCAAAAATAACAAACTCCATCTTTATTTACACTGCGTTTCGTCGTAATTTGCGTCGGGAATTGCGGCGTTCTCAGATTTTACTTTAAAGTCGCTTTTCTCAAAAAAATGCCGTTTTGACCCCTATGTTATATGAAACTTTTTGCTTATTTTAACCCCCTCTGGGTACCCATTTAAATAATGACTGTCATAACGTTTACACCCTGTATACCATCCAAAAAACATATATCATTTTTAAAAATTTTCGCGATTACGATACTTCCCCGCCAGCAGGCGTGGGAAGTAAAACATTAGATTGCACCGTTGCTATGCATACTCCCCCCTGCAATTATCAACTTTTTTTAAGGTTAATATGACGTTATAATCATCACAACTCAAGACAACATGTAATTATATTTTTATTAGTTATTTTGAGGTCATAAATTAGCATATTATATTATTTATTTCACCCAACGAGCTATGATTCAACTCGTTGAACAGGTTTATGTTCCAAATAAAATTTAAATAATATCTACTCATCACTAAACGCAAATCATTTGTCCAAAGTTGACCTTCGTTTCCTATTTACCAGATATGGTTCATGCAAAAATAGCAATGTGACGTGCATTTAACATGTTTAGATACATATTTATCTACCAGTTCACAAGTTAAAATTTATGTTATACAACTGTTGCATCATAGTTCAGAAAATATATGAACAATATAATTAATTAGCACTTACCCAGGGCTTTCATGAACTCATCAAAGTTTTCACTGGAATCCAGTTTGTACTTCTTGCCAAGGAAAGCTTCAACCATTTTGAATGTTTAAAGATGAAATACTGAAAGAGAAAATGCGTATCCGTCATTTTGACAATTATGTACCAAAAAACACCGTTAAAAGAGCATTTTGCACAAGTTAGACGATATTGTCAAATTTTATTGATGTATTTTAACTATATTTGTCAATCATCGATAGTTTTTAGAAGTTTTAAAACCTACAAATAATATATATGTGTCAAAAATTGAACACATCAATCGACAAATCAAAAAAAAAGAGAAAACGATCGAAACTAGTATACATTTTTTAACTTCCCAACATTTTGTTTAGAGTCGTTTTAAAATGATCACCAACTTGACGGTCAACAAAAAAATTATTATTTTTATGATATTTAGTTAGATACATTTTTATAGCAGTGTGTTATGGACAAACCGACATATTAACGAAATTTCACGATAGCTTTTTTAAATGATTTTTAATTTTAATTTTTTTAAATCCTTTCACCGTATAATTTTGAGTAAGAACTCCCACCATTGTTGGAAAGATGGGGGTTGTCGCACACACCTTTTTTTAAACGCAAAATCCGATTTGGAGATGACGCGGACTTTTGAACTTATTTAGTTGTTAATAATGCTTAAAATGTGGACAATATTGATCTAGATTGAATAAATGGCAGTTCTCTGATTGTATATCTAAGTTTGCATTTGAAATTGTGCAAACAAATACAGTGAAAGCTCTCCTTGCGGACAGCTCCTATAAGCGGACATCTCTTTTAACCGGACAAAGTTCCTGGAACCGAATTTCAGCCATCAATTTTCAATGTTAAATGCATTCCGATAAACGGACGCTCTTATAAACGGACGCGGACACTAGATTTTCCTGTATGTGATCAAAAAATCTCCCATAAGCGGACGCGAAACTCTAATACCCGGACGATTTTTTAGTTCCGCTTATTGCAATGCACATATCTACGTACATACATAAAATTCGGTAATTCCCCGATTTATATTAGGTGATTCCCCATTTACGCATTTCGTTGGGTAGCCTGTATGTAATCTTGTGGCTTGTCTTCAGTTCAGGCAAATTCGTAGTTGATTGAGTTACGTATTTTATTATTGTAACTGTAAAATGGCACCAAAAAAAAGGATGCTCTCGTTAAAGGAAAATATGGAAGTTGTTAACGTATTAGACAGAGAAAGTGTTTCAGTTCGTCATTTGGCAAAGAGGTTTAATATTGGGAAAACGCAAGCAGCTGAAATTGCCAAAAATAAGGAAGATATCAGGAGTAAATGGCAATCAGGAACTAATATAAATCAAAAGAAGGATTTTTTAAAAAAGGAAGGTTTTGTTATAGACAAAACATGTTTTGAGTGGTTTGTGAAAGCTAGAAGTCAGAACATTCCAATCTCAGGGCCGTTAGTGAAAATGAAAGCTAAAGAAATCGCCACTACTTTGGGCTATAATAATTTCAGTGCGTCCGACGGGTGGCTGCAAAAGTGGCGCAAGAGACATAGTGTGAGTTTCAAATGCATATCTGGCGAAGCTGCTGCAGTAGATCAAGTTGATGTGTCACAATTTTTGGAGAAACTTCCGTCCATGTTGCTTGGCTACAAACCAGAAGATGTGTACAACGCAGTTGAGAGTGGACTTTTTTTTCGCGCATTGCCCGACAAAACTCTGTCCTTTAAAGGAGAAACATGTGTGGGTGGAAAGTTGTCTAAAGATAGACTAACCATTTTATTCTGTGCAAATATGGCCGGTGAAAAATGCGATTTGATTGTGATCGGGAAAGCGGCTCGTCCCCGTGCTTTAAAAAACGTTGCTATTAGGGATCTACCAGCGACTTGGAAATCCAACAAAAAGGCATGGATGACCCGAGAAATCATATCTGAGTGGTTAGTCGAATTCGACCGGAAAATGAGAATCCAAAAAAGGCAGGTTCTTTTATTTTTAGACAATGCATGCTCTCATCCTCGTGATATGAAAATGAAAAATGTGAAAATTATATTTTTACCGCCAAACACAACTTCTGTTTGTCAGCCCATGGATCAAGGTGTCATACAGAACTTTAAATTTTATTATCGGCACTTGATTTTAAAACATATTTTAACAAAAATTGACGATGGTCAAAGCTTATCTGAGCTTACAAAGTCTATCAATGTGTTAGAAGCTTTGTATTTTATAAAAACAGCATGGAATAAAGTAAATTCCTCTACAATTAAAAACTGTTTTGGCAAAGCTGGATTCAGAAAAAGTGAATGTAGCTCAGAATTTGCTGAGCAAAATTATTGCGATGCTGAAGACGATCTGCCCTTAGCGACACTTGCTCAGTTACTGCGACATGCCAAACATTTAGGAGTAGTAGATCCCCAGAAAGTAGATGATTTCCTGGCCATAGACAATAACATAACAACAGAAGAAAATGCCATTGGCAACTTTTCGAATTTGGATGTAGAAAGCCCAGGCCAACTTGAATATGGTAGTCCAAACGACTCAGAAGAAGAAGTGGAACTGGTGGACTCACTAAGCGGTTCAAAAACGATAAATTCATATGGGGAAGCTCTAAATCATATTTCTATATTGAAAAAATTTGCTAAAGATGATTTCACTGCATTTCAACATTTGAAAAATTTAGAAAGTTATTACGAAAATTGTCTCCTTCAGCAAAAGATGGTGAAATTTCGTCAGACAAACATTTTAAACTTTTTTCAACAAGCTAAAGAATAATGTTTTTTTTAAATTCTCGTACCATGTATTGAAGCATTTATGTTTTTGTATGCGTATATGTACATATATTATATAGATATACAGGGTGACTTTGAAGTTGAGTCATTAATTTTCAGATAATGATTGTAGAAGGAAGATAAACCAAAATATGTGTGTAAAAATAAAAAAAAATTAAAAAAAAAATGTTACCTTGTTTTATAAAGTATCCTCCCGACAAGTATTTCAGTGCGGACCTGTGCGCCCAAAAGCATGTCACAAAAACTGTTCGAAATGATTTCCGTTTTGCTCGACGCACAGCTGGGCGCGTCTTAGCCATGTCTCTTTACAAGCACGCAATAAAATCACTGGTTGATTTCTGATCACTGTACTCATTTCCTCAATTCGAGCACGTAATTCTTCGCGTGTATTAACCGGTGTTTTATACACTAGAGTTTTTAGCCAACCCCACAAACAAAAGTCTAAAGGATTTAAGTCCGGAGACCTTGGCGGCCAAGGTACAAAACCGCCACGGCCGATCCAACGATTATTAAATTGTCTATTTAAAAATTCACGCACATTTCTTGCATAATGGGGTGGTGCCCCATCTTGTAAAAACCACATGTTTTGTCTAATATTTAAAGGCACATCTTCCAGTAAACCAGGCAAATTGTGTTGCAAGAAATCAAAATAATTTTCACCAGTTAAGCGATTTGGTAATTCAAAAGGCCCCACTAAAATTCCATTAACAATTCCCGCCCACAGGTTGATTGGTTCAAATCGCTGTTGAAAATTGGTTTCCCTTATTTCATGGGGATTTTCAATAGCCCAAACGTGAGAATTACGTGAATTAATAATTCCGTTTCTAGTAAAGAGGGCTTCATCACTCACTAAAATTTGATTTAAAGAATTGTCATCATTTTGATGTTTATTTAAAAGCCAATTGCAAAAGTCAACCCTTTGTTCATGATCTTCCGGTTGTAAGGCCTGCACTTTTTGTATGTGAAACGGATAGAACTGATTTTCACGTAGAGTTTTCCAAGTTTTATACTGACTAATCGCCAATTGAGTTGAAATTTGTCGGGTGCTTACTGTTGGATCATCACTTACTAATTCTAAAATTTGTTCTTCTAGTTCTATTTGATCGTGTGGTCTTGGAGCACCGGCATGATCTCCTCTGTGAGGTCTTAAGTCACCTGATTCACGAGCTCTTTGCACTACATTAACAAAGGCACGAGGGGTTGGTTGCACTCGATTGGGAAACCGATCCGCATAGATCCGTGATGCCGCAGCAGCATTTTGTAAAGACTCCCCGTAAATAAGAACCATGTCCACAAGTTCAGCATTTTCGTAAACATGTGCCATTTTTGATTTGAGCCTCGCAACAGACACGATTATTCACTTACGCGTTACCGACTACCGACTGATACTGACTGTATACAACTGAAGAAAATAATTGTAAAAAGATCGTTCCAAATTCTTTCGCTTTTTTGTTTCCGATGCGATGAACGGATAAGGCGGATTATATCTGTTGTTGCCAAACACGAGAACATAATATCATTATTGAGACAGGGCGGTACTCAAACTTCCAAAGGGCTATAACTTTGTTACTTTAATTTTACCAGAAAAATGGTAAAGGAAAAAAACATTTCTTTTGATCAGATCTACTCACTGTTAAAATAAATGACTCAACTTCGAAGTCACCCTGTATAGCATAAATACATACTTTAAAAATGTGGCGAGTTTCTGTTTCATTTTTCTCATGATTATAATACCTCATTTCCTCATGATTATATATTTATATATATATATTTATATTTATACTCTATACTTACATACTCTCTTTTAAACGGACACCTCCCATAAGCGGACAAAAGTTACGGAACCGTGAGTGTCCGCTTATGGGAGCTTTCACTGTATTTCCCTTTTTGGTCCATTGAGTTGTGATCGTCAACTTTTTATTTTAGTAGAAATTTGAAAAGCAGGATTGACGCGAGTTCTTCACCTGAGAGGCATAGCCTAGTCAAATTAGGGGTGATTTTTTAAATACGAAGGCACTGCGGCTGCTATGATGAGCTTTGAGGAACTTTGTTATTACCATTTTTGATCGGCCTGAAGTTAATAGAAATGGGAAAAGCCTCCTCAGGTAGATTTTTCCACAATGTCGATACTCTAGGACAAAACAGCGGTAGTATTGGCCAATTCTGGATGTACGAAGTTCGACCTGGTTAGGATGGGAGGCTGAAGTCATCAGGGTCTGTTTGCCAAGCCCAACTTAGTCTCAAAACTTTTTTGAACATTTTTTTAAACTGATTCCAAAAATATTTTTTCTTTGCCGTGCTCACATTCTGAACAAAAAAGGAGCTCTACAACCTTTTTCTAAAGTTTTTAATTTAGAAGATACAAGCGATAAAATATTTGAATAAGTCAGAAATATACCATTTTTGACCCCGAAAAAAAATATAAAAAAACATAAATTTAAATCTTTCCAATATTCCTAAATGTTCTTCAAACATCCATTAATAAATTCTCGAAGCATCTGTGGCAGTATCGTTATTGTAAACCTTTGTTTTTTATTATTAACCAAGGGCGCGGTCAGTGTATACTCTGCGTGAGTACGAGAGAAATGCACATTGTTAATTGCTGTCTGAAGTAAATTTAGGAAGATTGACAACATTCAAATTTTCGTTTTTTCTGGGTCGAAAATGGCATATTCCGCACTTCTTTTAATATTGTATCATTTCTATCACGAAATCTATCAACTTCTGGAATTTGTGCAGAATGTCCCAAAAAACCTAAACGCTATTTGAACCCGGGCGAATTAGTTTATGGAAAGCAAAAACAACAAATAGCAAACAGCTGGTTTTGAACTTTTCTGGCGTGAAAACCGTCTCTGTTGGAACTATAAGTAACTAAAATATAAAAGCAAAATATCTGGTCAAAATCAGACATTTTTGTTAAACATAATATAAGTGTAGAAGAAAAAATGTATATTGACTTGTCAACCCTACCTTAGTGCCGTCGGTTAGTCACTTCACCGGTTTTACACTATATAGCGGTAAGTGCCGCATAAAAAAAAGGTTACATACCTGAGCAAAAATACCAAGATGTAATCCGGGAGACACCGGCTTAATAGAATGTGAGATCACAAGTACCGCGGTTGAGTCGATTCGAATGAAGCGGCAGCAATGAAGACAACTGAAGGGGGCTTCACTGCAGTAGGGGTCGCGATCACGCCACTTTTAGGTTAGAGCGATGGTGGGGTGCAAGCGTGCTTGCGCAGTGAACGACGGAAGTGGAAGTCGTTAACGATTTTTAAATAGGGCGCAACGCGGTAGAGCCGGTAGAGGCATATACAGGGTTATCCAAATTAAGTGTCCACCATTAGTAACTTTGTTATTAGTGAAAATACAAAGTTGTTTGAATTAGCAAACTAGTAGCATTTTTAACGCTGGTAAAAATGAGAAATAAAAAAAAACAATTGAGAGTCGTTATTTTGATTTTTTTCAGTAAAATAACATTTTTTTAAATGGAAACCCCTGTATATTATATTTTTTTCTGTTAAAGCATTAAATTTTAAACAAAAAAGCTTACAATAAGTTTTCTCCTAGGTTACAAATTGTTGAAGTTATGGCCTCCAATCTGAAACAATTAAATTGTATCGACAAACTTTATTTTCAACATCAACTTATAATCTTACAAAATACAATAACAATTTTTTTTAAAGAAGATGCTCGAAAACACCACCTTGTTCTTCAATACATTTTTGGGCACGTTTTTCAACTGCTCGAACTGTCTTAAGTATGGTCCTACCATCTATCTGGGTTATCTTTTCCCTAACTGCAGTCTTTAATGCGTCAAGGTTATCGTACCTTCGCTTGTAAATTTGGTTCTTTAAGTAACCCCACAAGAAGTAATCAAGTGGGTTTAGATCTGGTGATCTGGGAGGCCACTGTATTGGGCCATTTGTTCCTATCCACTGATCATTAAAAGTAGTACTTAGAAAATGATAAGTACCTCTGGAGTTGTGGGCAGGTGCGCCATCTTGCTGAAAATGCAGATGATGTCTACTTATAAGATCCAATTCGTCTAAGAAATTAGTCAGAATTTCTGACATAAATTCCACATATCTTTCACCAGTTAGGGTTACCTCATAAAAGAACGGGCCAACAATTTTTGAACCAATTATACCGCACCAAACGTTGAAACTGAAACGGACTTGTGGGCCTCTTGGATGTACTAACAAAAGATTTTCTCTTGACCAATAATGGTGGTTTTTTCTATTAAACATTCCAGAATTTGAAAAATTTGATTCATCTGTCCATAAAAGGTAACGAAAGTTATTTACATTTTGGCGACAGAAGCTAAGATACCAATGGCAAAAAACAAGTCTTCTCTCTGGATCCCCTGCCAAAAGCGTTTGAACTGGTCGGTACTTATACGGAATAAATTTGTATTTTTTTAAAATCCTTTGAACAGTACCATAACTGAAATTAGAGTCCTTGAGAATATCTGCTATTGAATTCTCACGATAAGCTTCAAAATATCCAATAACTGCAATTTCCGTGGCCTCGCTTATTATAAATTCTTTTTTTGCCCTTGTTTTAGCAAAAACGTTTTCGTTGCCCCTAAATTTTCGATAAAGTCTCAGAAAATATCGTTCATACGGTTGAATGCGAGCGGGATATAATTCACTGTAGTATTCTCTTGCTCTCAAGGAGGATTTTCTGCACACTAAATAGCATTCTAACATATCACACTTTTCTTCATGGGAGAACATTTTTCTTTAAATTAATGACACAATAAAGCTTATAAACAAGTATTTACACTAATGTTTGACATTATTTGATTTTATCATTGTTTTCCAAAGCCTTCTAGTTGCGAGTATGTCCAGTTTAACAATTTGTCGCTTATCTTAATGCTGTCAAATCGCGAACGCCATGTTGTTTTCATAGCCGTCTTAATATTATAATACTGCAAATAATTAAAAATATTTATCGTTATTTTGACTTTATTTTTGACTTTAGCGGAAAAGTCATTATGAACTTTTTTGTTTAAAATTTGATGCTTTAACAGAAAAAAATATAATATACAGGGGTTTCCATTTAAAAAAATGTTATTTTACTGAAAAAAATCAAAATAACGACTCTCAATTGTTTTTTTTTATTTCTCATTTTTACCAGCGTTAAAAATGCTACTAGTTTGCTAATTCAAACAACTTTGTATTTTCACTAATAACAAAGTTACTAATGGTGGACACTTAATTTGGATAACCCTGTAGAGGATATGGTCCAGTCGGAATGGTGATTAGTTTTTAATTAAAGACATGCATTTTTTGGGATGTCGCTGTCGATTCTTTTTGTATTCCGTATTATGAAAGTAATCCACAAAACTTGTAGACTCCTCACTTGGAAAATAAGTCGCTCTCTACAGGGTGATTCATAAACACACATTTTTGCTCTACAAAACAAAAAGTTTGATATATACATAGTTTGGTTTCTTTATATTTTTATATCGCATAGTTTCTAGTTATTCGAAGGTTTTTATTTTTTTCCTTCATCTGTACACCGTGTTTTCCCAAGAAATCAACTGAAACACCCTGTATATTTTACGGTTTTGGGTTATTCTTTGTTGTAAGCTTAATTTTTGCAAAGCTCCGTATCTGCACTTTCCCAAAAATTACATTTAGAAATAAATAAGTGAGTCCTAATGGACAATATGGAATGGGAATGATTTTTTCAGACATTGCATTTTTGTAATACGACTGCGGAATATTTTTTCTATAACTCCAAACATAGGTACTCGCTACGCTTTGCACCCCAGTCCTCCGTCTCCATGAAATAATTGCTAATTAAACCAAGAGCTCCACACACTATGAGGGAACTAAGTAGGCGTTCTAGTGAAGAAAGATATATCGAAGCCCGCTCTCGATCTTTCAGGTCTTTATCAGAGGCATTATATTCCGGTATGTTCACAGAGGATCAGTCGCTGATGCAAGAGGCCATCATCCTCCGAAATATCCTGCGCTCTTCAATTTTCAATCTGCGATACCCCCTTCGAGACGAACATCCTCCTTAGGATGAATCCTGAGCTTCTCTTCTAGCTGTTTTTTATATGGACCCCCCTGGAAATATTTTCTAAATATTCGGAGACCGGTCTTAAGGCTGGCAAAGTGAGTCTTCGAAATATCTTCTGTACCCAGTCGGCTAATTATTTTTATTCTTATTATACCATATTAAAAAATAAGCTAAATACAGTATGTTATTGATATTCCATCGCTTTTTCTAATACACTTATACAATATAATATTATATTTTTCCTTATTATTTTTTTATTACCATATTATCTATCATTTATCCCCCTTTTTTCATAAAGTATATGCTGCCAAAGTAATTAAGTTTTCCAGTGACGTTTCTTGATTCACGACTCCATTATATAAAATACATGTTGTTTTTCACTAGGTATCTACTGGAAATTTACCATACAATTATACGATTATGACGAATACAGTATTTTTTTTAATATCATAATTTTACCGATCGAAGGTTAAGTTTTGCTCGAAGCCGAAGGCAAGATCGAGTAAATCGACTAGAAACAACCGAAACAAAATTCTGAGACAACAACTTCAACTCCAGAAATTTATCCTGTGGTTTTATGTCCTTAGGATTCAATTGTCTGGCCGGTTATCCTCAAACATTTGTTAAATCTCAAGGCAACAAGAAACCACAACCATTCTGTATCTACTTCACGTGAGAGGTTTATCTAAAAGACTTGGTGTTTGCAAAAAAAGTAACATCAGAACTGTTTCCAAAACAACTAACGTATTAGTATCTCTATTGAGCCACATAAAACCTCCTAATGAAAATTTAGACATAAAAAATTCAATATACGAGTACGTGACTGTGACGGCGGGAAATGCTACATTGGCGAAACATTGAGACCTGTTAAATGTAGAATTAAAGAACATAAAGGATGCATAACCAAGAGAGAAACGTCAAAATCAACGCTAAGGGTGGATGTCTGGGAATCAGGGCATATGGTTAAATGGGTGGAAGTCTCAATACTGCACAAATTTAGCAGCTGATGAGGCCAAAGAAAAGGGGAGAAGACCGACAATAGTTGTACACCCAAGAGGGAAAGAACAGCCCGTGTACAACGGGTGGACAAAAAGAAGCCTGTCGATTGAGGTGGCCAGAGTCAAGCACGGACTCGAGGCTAACCTCAGGAGACGAAGACAAACAGCAAATGACTGTTTGACGACTGACTGACTGACTCCAGTCGACGAGGAAAGAGCGAGGGCTCACCAATCTTAATGCAGGGCTTAGATCAAAACCCCAGCGCAGGACCCCCAAGAAAGAGGCCGTCCATAAAAGTCGAGAACCGACAGTTGGAAGAAACGTCCACCACGTGTGCGCGATCGAGTCAATTTCGGGAAAAAGGGGCAAAATTGGGGAGGGGGTAGCTCGCTCGGCAGCACACACTCGGGGAATGCGCAGCGGCCTGAACCACGCAGCGCCACGTGCTGCACAAATTGCAATTTATTGTAGAAGAAATTTACATTAATCAGCGTATTTTCTTAATTTTAATTTTCTGTCTAGTTCCTCTGTGGACTGTGACCCAAATTGGTTGAGTATACTTGAAGGAAAGATTTACATGATATTATCCAAGCTGACAGATGGATCATGAGTTTTTTTCTGCCAGGTTCTTTCTTATGATTAGATTTTATATCTCAAATGCCCAGATATTTGACTTCGCTATCTTAGCGGCAAATTGTTGTGTCTTATATTATTCTATCACAAGACAAACAGCATGGTTGTCGAAGCACTATTTCTCGCATTTCAGATCCACAGATAATGCACATGCAGATTGCATAACAATTAACCGTTATGTTGCGACAATAGTGCTGGATTGGTTTTCGCGTTTTCAGAGGACTTCTGGCGGTTCCAGAACGATAGGCGAGGGTGACGTTTTCGCTACAATAAAAAAAACAACCTCATGCTCGCTTGTAGCTTTGGGGGCTGGACGTTTTTTTGGGAGCGGGAATGCTTTCCCCAGGTGTTCCTGGCTTTTACTGATTTTGCACGGTGCCATCTTAAAATTGCAATGCACACTGTACACGATTGTGAAAAAGAAAAAAGATACAAAATGTCACTTCATTACTCCCAATGTTCGCTTGCTAACTTGTTAGCACTTGCTTTTTGTCCCGAGAACCCGTTGAATTTAATTCAAATCCTGTAGAAGATCACCTCAAAAATAAATAATGTGATGATTCACAATTTGATATGAAAGTACATTTTCAAATGAAAAACTAATCGTTTGATCAACACGGCCGTTCGTGAGATGAGATAATGTTGTCGCGTTGGTTTTCAAATTGAATATGAGGGTATGTGAAAAAGGATGTGTAGGCATGGTGAAGAAACAGTTTCTCATGATTCTTAACCACAAGCAGAGTGTCTGCGGCTTAATTGAATAATGTCATGTTAAATTAAGTTCAATTATTAATGAATGGTTATAAATTCACTCAGCTAAATTAGACCATTGTTGAGCGTCTACTCGAGATACTTTGAATTACTAGCTGTATGTATTAAGCGTAAAAATAGACTGATGCGTTTTATGCAAGGCGAGTTAAAAATATAGGGTGTGGCAATGAAGCTGGGGATTTTTAAGATTCGTGAAAAATTAAGGAACGCTCCTCCGGGAAAATCATTTTTTTTGGGGTTTTTATCACTTTTGCCGATTTTCGTTATTTGCCGTTTTACAACTGCTTGATTACCTTAATGTGTGGTATGAACATATTGCAGGAGGTTAAGCATTTT